GTGGCTCACAACAGAAAGCACTTCTGTGGCGTCCCCTTCCGCTTGTTCTGAACGCAGACTTGGAGCCATTTTAAGGTGAAGCTACCGGCCACGCCCACTCGCGCTCCCGGAAAGCCAATCCACGCGCGGCCACGCCCCCCGCGGCGCGCGGCGCCGCCGTCAACGGTCGCGCGGATGACGGTTGGGAAGGGGCGTGATTGGGGGGGGGGGCGAGGCCGGGAAACCTGAGTCGCCCGCCTCCCCCACTGCAACCCGACACCCCAAAGCCCGGGATTAGGGGCTCCGCGTTTGGCACCACGCCCTCTCCAGGTGTGCAAGCCACCGCCAGGTGCGCGGCAGCCCCGCCCTGGGTCCTGAGAGCCCTCTGTAATGGCTGGGAGCCGGGCCAGCCCGCCACGGCTGGGGCCCAGTCCACGTCTGAGGCCAGCCACTCCGCCAGGTGCCCTGCTCCCCTGAGAAGGCCGGCTGGGGCCAGGGGCGGGGCTGGCGGTGGGTTCTGACATTGGAGCTACTCCGGGAGACACGCCCTCCTGGGACAGATGGCTCTGGCTCGCTCCCACTGGCCGGTCGAGCTGCACTGCGGCTGCCTGGCCGCAAGGGGCGCTCTGTGCACTGGGCCGGTTTCGTCACGACGTCGCCGACCTCGCTACGCGAGATTGTCATGGCTGCCGCCTTCGCGCTGCGGGGTTTGTACCAGGTCCGACCGGCACTGCGCTGTCCGCCCGTCCGGCTGCCGTGGTGAGCTCTGAATGTGCATTCGTTCTCTTTCACCCTCGAAAACCTACATCCCCACCCTGTTCCTTCCGTCTCTGCAGTGATCAGCAGCCCTGGGCCGCAACCCTCATTCCTTCCAGTCTCCGAGGACCTGTGACCCTCGGCTTCAACCCTTGTTTCTAACCCCATTTGACTGAGTTCCTCCTGCAGGGCGCCACGGCGTGGGCATCGGCTCACGCCGGCCGATGACGAGCTGTACCAGCGGACGCGCATCTCGATGCTGCAGCGCGAGTCACAGCACATTACGTACATCGACAGCTACAGCAGC